TACTAGATACAACACAAAAGGATATTAATATTTCATCTTAACTTTTAATTTTGAATAGCGTAAACTTATCGTGGGAACGCATCGTGAGTTGTAACCAAAAAAGCCAATACAATGGATCGTTTGTAAAGCACAGGAAGTTATTCGTCTTCCGTTTTGAATTATAACTCTTGGAGTCAACCCTAATCACCGTATCACTAATAAAACACGAGTGAACTGTTTGTAGTTGCATCCTATTGTTTGATATTCTTAGATTTTTCATTTTGTCATGATAATAATCCTTCAGACATTTGTAGCAAAGATGATGCGCAAATTGGACAAAATTTTATCTTGTCAAACTTATTGTATTGTAATATTGGCGAAAATAACTAATATAAATAGCAGAAGTAAACTGATTATTTTAGTATACACATGAGTATAATATGGAATTATTTTCAAACAAAGCCAAATTATAGCAATATTTTTAGTTCACTGTAGAGAATGGAACAACAGAATTTGCCATACAGAACAAAACTTCCATTTCTAAACTCTTCTATCTATATAATCTTTGCAATCGGTTTATAAATTAAGATTTAATATCTTAATTTAAAAACCTAACATGAATAATAAAATAAGTCACTCCTTTTTGTAGTATAATAAATTCAAAATTATGGGCTTACCGTCTATTACAGTTTCTCAGAAGCCCAATATCAGTGTATTATAACCTTAATTACTAATTATTACTTTGCTACCATCAAGACAATTACTTCGACACCATTACCTTTAAAATTATCAGTCCTAAAACGTTTAGAGTAAAAAAAGGAATATTAGAACACTCCCCTTCGATAGAGGTAACAAAAAAGAGTAAATTACACATTATTTCATTTGGGTTGAAAATTACACAGAAATTTTGGGGCTTTTATGATGATTTTCGTGTTAGATTTTATGGTGTTATCAAAGATTTTGTAATTAGTTTTTAGTAGCGAACTGGGGCAACAAGTCGCTGTGGTGCAGCCCTCTTGATAATAACTTGCAGTACATTAAGCTTAAGGCGGTATGCCATCATCTTGCTCGTGAGAATATTAACGAAATTTTCAGTTTGCGACAAACAACATCTTGGCAACAATAATAGAGGAAGTTGGAGCATTAGCTAGCTGTGTTTTTTGTTAGTCTCAGTGAGCGTAGGCTGTAAAGGGTAGACTGTCGTTTCGAAATTTTTTAGATCTCTTTAGAGTGTCTTTGTGCAGACGGCGTCAACACCTCTCTCTCCTTTATTCACTTGCTTTCCGCCCACCTCGTATAATGCGTTAAGAAGAGGTGTATAGCCAAAACACTGTCTCTGTTTAATCAGGCCACTAGACGATCAATTTCGCTTTAATCAATACATAATCTTGATCAAATTGATCGTGTCATGTGTTGATTGATGTCAGATTGAAATGGATCATCACACATTCAAATAATTTAATTTTTGTAATCACCCGGCCATTAAGTAGATAGGAACAGGGGATGACGCATTGTGCGTCAAACACGGTTTTTGATTAATTACTCGAAAACTATTGCGGGTGTTGTATAAACTCTGCATGATTCTCTCGACTATAAAGTCAATCACATATTTATAATTTTTTTTTAGATTTTAAATTTTAGTTCCCCTGTATCTAAGGGAACTAGTAGATGGACTAGTGCAAATATCGATTCGAAAACTGTTCACTTTTGTTCCATTGGCACATACATTATTCAATTAGCAATTGATAATTTTTCGTGTTAATTATTCAGATTACCAAAGGCGTCGCCATTTACTTTAAAGTTTATTTTATTAAAACTAAATTGAATATTGGTAACAATAAACATTGAATGTGGTAGACTAGCATACGAATAAGATAGCATTAATAACTAAATAACGCAACCCACACAATGATTAAAAAAATATATTATACTCCCCAAAAAACAGAAGATTACTACTTTCTGAAGTTTGAAACGAAATGGCGCTTTGTACAAAAGCTAACTCAATTTGTGGGTCTTTCCCTTGGGGTTCGCTGATAGGGTTGTCCATTTTTAATGCGCAAAAAAAAACAAAAAATATTTTAATTTAGTTTATTGTTTATGTTAATTTTGACTTTGTCTGGTCACCACAAATTTCCGGAGTTTAAATGAAACTCTATCTTCACAGAATTTAGGTTTAAAATTGAGTGGAGAAATTAACAAATTTGTATAACTGGTCATGCTGTTGTCTGCACTCAGTAGTGAATATTACTGAGTAATAGATGAATTACTCGTATCTTAGTGCATTAGCACTCATTTCGATGGATTTATGTGAATATTATGCTACATAGGTACTTTGAGATCGTACATAGCAATTAATAAACTGAATTCATTTTGACCCATTGTTACATACATTTTTGTTGGATTTTAGGTAGAATGTTGACAATTTGAAGAAATTTTTAGTATTGACAACCCTATTATATGGTAATGGGCCAATAACTGGGTGGTGATTTATGATTTCAGCGCACTCCAGGCCCACGGAACTTCGCATAGATCTGTTTTATTTAATTTTAAGGTAAAATGTTGAAAAGCATTGGAGCCACGTGGTTTTTCTTAAGCATAATTGATGCTGTAATAACTTAAGATACATTTTACTTATTCAATTCAAATAATTAGATACCTACCGATCTGAAAAGTGAAACATGGAAGGTGTAATGCTTCTCGTCCTCTTTGCTTGATGGCTTTTCCATTACTTGACTAAGACATTTACTAACGGAATTTATTAATTACTCAAAGAATAAAAAATACGTGTTTAATATTTTTTAATAATCTACCCGACGGATAGACGGACAAAAATTAATCATCGTTTCTATTCTGCTATCAAACGTACCTACAATATTTTAAATATAGCTTTCAATAGAACACACCTACAGGTTGTCCTAAACATCAATATTTAGAATTACAATTTTTATATACTTTTAATACTTTTTTAAAGAAAATTATTTAACAGTAACTTATATCACTACCTGTATAAAAAAAAAAATGCTAGACCTTACAATTCCTATAATATCTATATTATGCTCTAAAACGAAACAACTGCAGAACGAAATACAAATATTCTCAAATTATTGAAAAATATTCTAGAGAATACGAATTAAGTCGGACAGAGTGACGTGTTGATAATAACCAGTGAATGTTGATCTTCAATCGTGTACTACTTTGTTTATAGTGCGGACCTTGTTATGTTCGTTTTAAAGATGTATCAGGAATGTTAGGTATTTCATTAAGAAGCGCGTGTCGATACCCTCGCTACGGCCCCTCCAACTTGCAATTAAATTTTATAGGTCCAATCGAAGTTCGTGGAACAAAAGGAAACGCTGACTCCGCGTAATAAATTTGCGTATGCCAGATATTGATTACCTACGTAGTATTTACTCGAAGTAACATTTTTAACCTTTTAACCAATTTCAAAAGAAGGTTCTTATATCTAATTATTTTTTCTATATGTTCATAACAAACCTCCATCGATAGTGAATCAATTTTGATGTTTTTTTTTTTTCATAATAAGGTAAAATTCCTAAGTGAGTTCAATAAAAATCGTGAGGTCTGGATCAACTATGTTATTCTATTAATAAATAGCCATTCTTTGAAATAAAATCTTTATTACGATTCCAAATAGGTTTTATTTTATTGACCATCTATGAAGCCACAGCATTTTTTCGAGACGACTTTTATAACATTTGAGTAGTATTTGTAAATCTCAAATATCTAGTTCAGACCTCGCATGTTACAAAAAGGTCTAGAGCAAGATATACTTTATAATCATCGACATCAGCCCTTTTACGTCCTCACTGCAGAGGTCAGGTCTTCCTTATGGGTCGTGGCTAAACAGGATAAGCTGTAACCCTCCATGCTGACCCATTGCGAGCACGTGCCTTCCAAACTCGAGATTGGTCACTTTTATATATGTACTTCCCATTATTATCCTGTAAGCTAAGCTACGCGTATAATCAAAAGTAGTGCTTTGTGTGTTTTTACAAAATTTTAGACGCTGTAATTTCGAAAATCTAAAATCTCAAACATATTTACCGTAACTACCAAAATTTAGCTGAATCTGTTCGATTCAATACAATAGAGCAATTCAACTGTGTCAGACTAATGGACGGATAGACATAGGAGTTATCGTGAAAAGGATTATTTTATTAAGGTAAATGATCCTTAAAAACAGTAAAAAAAAATTATCGTCTATTAATATCTTTAAAAAATGACACCGTTCCGTTGCTAAAAATCAAATTGCCGGACTGTACAATGTACCCTGTAACATACGTGTCGCCACAATGTCGCGTGACGGTCGATACACGTCACACACAGAACATTTCTTGTCTTCTCATCCTGTTTTTGTCACAGCCCATTGTTGACAAGGGGCCCGTCGTCCCTCCGATTTTTGCCGCCCTGTAACTTGCAAATGACGCATTTCGAACTACCGTTTGTCTTAAAGTAATAAATCATTCTCTTTAAATAAAATATCAGAGTTAATGCCTTATAATATGCCTTCCTTTTCATTTTTAAATGTTTTTCAAATATTCCTGAAAATAAAGTTATCCCGTAATGATATCCATTGGATATCCATTGGAGACAAAAGTTGAATTAGAAAGAATGAAAAATGTGAGGATTCTTCCTAATTAGAGGTGAAATTTTCACAGAATGCATAGGTCAATCTGAAAGATACTATTAGTGTAAAAGTTAGCAAGCATGTTTCAATCTTCCAGACATATATAAATCATATTAGACGAAAGACGGGGGTTGTATTCTGAAAACCAATTTTAGAAATATCGACAACTTCGTCGTTCTTTGTCTGAATCTAAGATTAAAAAAAATAACAGTCCACGATTTATCTAATTTTGATTTAATGGGTGCAGAGTCTTTTGGTATTAGTTGACTACCAAAAGACTCTGCAACGCACGACCTGTCCTCAGGATACGTCCTTGTAGTTGGAGTATTTGTCATGTGTTAACGAAAAACGTGCGTATGGAGTTTGATATACAATGCGAAGCATAAAGGAACCGGGAGAAATCAAGACGCATCTATCCGATCTAATGGAACAGGAAATATCAACTCATGAATGTAACTTCGAAAAATTTGATATGATGTCTCGTGCCTTTTTCTACTCAGCAAGGCATCATAAATAGGTAGATATTTATGTCTATTCATTATATCTGTTGATAGCAGTGTTTACACGGAATTACTAGTTCTAGATTAATTACTAACGAAATTATCAAATACCGGTCATATGAATAAGAATGAATCAAATTATCTGCCCTCCTCCGCAAGAAATCGCAATAGAATGAATCAAATTATTACGCTTCCTGTAGCGGAAGATTTCTTTTCCACGTGTCCTAAAATGAATAAAGCTAACAATTTCTGAAAATTGCTGAAAATATTGAGAAAACTCAGTAAGCAAGCGCAAACAAGAGCAACTACTGTTTACGAACCTAATTGAATGTGAAATGAATTGAGCTTATACGGCACGATCAAAGCGCGCCCTCTAGCGATGCTGTGTTTTAATTTATATGAAGAGGTTCTTGCCCGCGGCCTACGCTGTCGAGTTGCCGTGTTTCCTGTAAATTTTCCCTAACGCAATCGTCTTTCTCCGGCAACATTAGTAGTCATATTTCACGGGAAACAACAATGGGATAATGTAGGGTCGTAATCCTACTACACAATAGCGTCTCTATACTGAATTTACTAATAGAGTGTCAATTTCCTTCTTGTCATCTCTCGTATAGTGGTGTAGGTACTTTATTAAAATACAAATGTTGACTGTTTTTGAAAGTCTGAGTTATAATCATCTAGATTAAGTTTCAATTGTTGTCCTGCAGGTGGCTGACCATTAAAAATGTAAATCAAACTCGTTTTCAATAGTTTTTTATCACACGAGCATTAAATACAGTGGGTATACATGTGACTATGGATAATCTTTAAAGCAAACCCAAATCAATTTTACTTTAGTGGGTAATCTTATTAATTTGAATCCACTTGAATCAAAAGCTTACTTTGCGTGTAGTGTCTCTGTCACTAGCGCGCATCATGATTGGGTTGCTATTTCATCTACTATTAATTCTCCGTATTACTTTTAACAATTAAATCTTCCTAGTTACAACTGCAAGAAATCGTGATGATATATATCTAACTACTGCAACGGAATAGTCGGAAAATATTCAAAATGGTTGTTCGAAAAATGTATTTATTTTAGACTATGAATATGAACACCAGATTATAAAATATCTACGCGAGTTAAATGTTTGCTTGTAAAACAGGCCTAATTATTTTGTTCTAAAATTAAATCGCAATTATAAATAGATTATTTTCAAAGAGAAACAACTAAATGTATAAGTGCCTAAACATTAGCAAACTCATAGAACAAACTCGCCAATTCAAGTAAAGTAATATACTGTATTACTATTAGCAAGAGTCACATTCGTCTTTGATATCCCTCGGACCACGCGACACTCAATTTGTCCGGCAAATCAAATAAAACTCACGGCCAGGTGAGCCCCCCCCCCCCCCTCACTCCTTTACTTCAGCCTTACTTGGTATCATCTTTTCGTAACAGGCGAGGGGATTTTGTTATGATTATTCATTTAAAAACTTAATTAGAACCTGTGACTACATAATCGTTGTTTTTATAATTTGTACGGATTAACAAGACACCCGAGAACATATTCTTGTAAGAGTAGTGGTTTATATGTGACACTGGAGTGGATTTTCACAAATCAGTTTGTCGTACCGTAGAAAAATTCTTCAGAGTTAGAGAACAGTCACCTTAGCTTCTTCGAAAACTAAATTACTTCAGCCGTAAAACTACTAATTAAACAATATAGTATAGAAAAATATATCTCAACTCTGTCTGCCTATCAATCAATCAATCTGACGTGAAGATTACAGCTACTATAAATTTATACCAATAATTTGTTGTTCAACCAAACAGTATTTAAATTTGCAGTAAAGCAACAGATAAATATTAAAGCAAGCAAACATTTACGAGACTTTATTGCTAAAATAATTATGTAGGTAGGCATCAAGAGGGTCCCAGCCAGGAAGTTTATCAGGGGGGCAGTAACCCTCTGCTCAATTTCTATCCCGTTTAATTTGTGAGCGTACGTAGCGTGGCTATCGTCCGCCATTAATGTCATAATTAACGCTGATTCGAGAGATCTGCTCCAGTTAGCCGAAAAGTACTCTCTGTCACGTCATGTGAAGGGCAAATGGAATTCTAGCGTTCAAATTTCGATCTTGTTCCCAAACGATAAGTACATTCACGTACCATATTCGCATCATTTCGGATGACACCTGTCACTATTAACGCCAGTCGGTAGCCTCGGTTTATTCAGCTTAGACTATTTGCATTTAAGTACGGGAGAGCTGATAATGCCAACTACGCAAAGTGTCGAGGAAACTAGATCAAACCATACATAAAATACTAAAATGTAGATTCTGCCAAATATGATTTTTAAAATCTTGCACACTATCAAATGAAAAGAACGCGAATTATTGTTGGCGTTGGCAGCATTTGTTGTGCATTAATTAGCTGTGCACAGGTATTTTATAGATATCATATAACTATAACTTAGTAAATACAATGGACGTCTACAAGGTCAAAAGTCAAAGTAATCTTTATTCAAATAGACTTCTTGAAAGTACTTTTGAATAGTCCAACTTTTTTTTCCCTACCACCTGTTCAGGATGTCTTTTGGCTAATAAGAAGAACGACCAAAAAACTCACCAGCTCTTTTTTTTTAATAGTAGATTTAAACTGCACGGTACCTAATTGTTGTATTTTGCTTAGGACCTTATTGTAGAAGCGCACACAAGGACCACTGAATGAGTTATCAACTTTGTCCAGTCTAGTGACGGGCACCGTTAATTTATTTTTATTTCTTGTATTAAAAATGTGTACATCACTTTTGATAGAAAAAAAAACTCATATAAGTTCTCGTATATGTTTTCAGAAGCAACAGAAGGTAACGCTTGATTCTATTATTAAAATAAAAAATAATGAACACCGTAATTTGCAATTTCCATTACGTAACCATCAAACATCTTTACAGAATCTAATCATTTCTCTAAGTCTCATTTATATGCAGTATCTACTTAATATGGGAGTCGCGTCTATGTCTTGCATATCTGAAGCGTTTATTATAAGCATCAATCAACGCGGTTACTGTGATATTCAACAATCACCGATCATTTGGAGTCATTAGCGGGCAGCACTCCAATTAACTAGGATGATATTCTGTAGCGGCATGTTTAGTACCTTTATACCGTTTATTACGTTAAATAGATATCGATGGAGTATTAACGCGAGCAGGTGTTGTGCCTCATCAGCGCGACGAAATTAAGGCTCGAAACAAACTACCGACGGCGAATCGTGTCGTGATGATTTTCAAAACACTGCGCTGTCACGTGTCTTGGAAAAAAATACATGAATATAGATTGATCTAGACTTCGTCGTCTTCCTTGGGGATTCATTGATATTGAAAAATTAATTAAATTTATGAAAAGATAAGATGTTTAGAAATTAAATATGTCAAGAAATAACATACTAACATATTATAGTTATTAGCAAGCTAAATTTTTAATATTGATCATAGTATGACAACTATGAATTAAAATCAAACTTTTCCTATTTTAAATTTTAGAGTATTAGGTGCCGTTGAAGGTACTATGGAAATTTCAGTATTAAATATGCTATTAAAATTTACTTAAGGTAAAAATTATCACGTATTTCTCTAATACGTTCAGTCTCTGGAGTTATGAAACGTTGAATAAAAAGCGGTTTGGGCTTCGACGAATTGGGCCCGCCTACTTGATCATTAGTTTAATTAACATGTATTTAATAAATCTATATATCTATATGCGCATTTCAAAATGTATTATATTAATAGTCATTTATATTAGTAGCAAAGAAGAGATAAGCCATCTTAGGTATGTAGGCAAACCATGTATTGTAATTTGCTACGACACGACAAACGCATTCATCTGATTTTGCCTTTATGCTCGCCGCCGCGAGCAAAACGCGATTAGTAATAACGCTATTAAGTGATAGGCTAATGCGATGCGGGTGGCAGGCATCCTGGCACATTTAGCTTCTATTTCACGCGTTTATATATTTGAAAGTAGAGAAATAAAAAGTCGTTTGTAATTAGATGAATAGTCACTATTTTTTTTTTCAACAAAACAACGAAATATATGTATCCTACCATTGTTTTTAGTATCTTCATATAATGCCGAAAAAGCTGTTTCCAATCTTTTTATATTTCAGAATACTATCCTGTATACTTTTTAATTAATTAGAAATAAAAAAACCTTTCTATAGAATACAGCTTACCGAACAAGGTGATTGACTTGACACTTCTTCGCGTGACTTGCGTGCTAGCCTATCGTCTGTCACTCGTCACGCGGTCACTGGGTCACGCCGTGACCTGGGATACGATGTTAGACCTGGAAATTGTTAAGATATTGGTAATAATAGAAACGTCTATCTATTTCATTTGTTCTTAGCATAACAGTAATAATATAAAAAATAGGTTGGGATTTATATTAACAGCAATACGCAACCATTGAATTTATGCAGCTAAATGTTTAGTCATTTTAATTCATTTTCACTTAAACGTTAAATCTAAACATTAAATTTAAAAATGAAACGATTAGATTAATAAATTTATTTGTATTTTACAGGTCCACCTGGACCACCTGGTAAAAGAGGCAAGAAAGGGAAAAAGGGTGACCCCGGCGAACCTGGACCACCGGTGAGTTTGAAAATGTTCTAATATTTCGTTTATATTTTTGTATTGTTTATAATGTTTATAATTTTATCTTATTTTGTTTAAAATCATAATTTTGTTTATAATATAGAAATTATCGAAATAGGACTGTTTTAATTATTTTATTCGGTTTTCTATTTATTTCTTTCGCAGGGTATTACGGGGGCACCAGGGAAAAATGGATTCCCGGTACATATATTTTTTTAATTTATCATTTTATTTTCCTTCTGAACTTTATTTCCGATCGCATTTGTAAATACTTAAGATTTCCTATCTTTTTACAGAGTTATCTAATGTCAATAGAATCTGTGGAATGTTTATCTGTATTTACCATTGAAACACACAATCTTCTATCGACGTTTGTCAAAACTCATATCAATCAACTATACATAATAGTATAAAAAAGGAATTGAGAACACTTTTCAAAAAATATTACTACAAAGCAGTAAGCTTAAAGTACCGGTATAAAAGCCAGGTGAAATGAAATAACGTATTTGTGACCTACGTAAAGTTAATAAATGTTTCCAAGATTAAAATTTAAATGTTAAAATTTATGTAATCTTAATGAGATTACGTAAAAGTAAGATGAAAATGTTTATATATCATGTAATTGGTTTATATTTCTTAAATCATGCAGTGATTGTTTATCAATGTTTTAGAATATCTTGACAGAGATAGTTATCGCTATAACTGTTTTTCTATGGTATTTGGCCTATATGGTGCTTGATTTTGTATCGGCGTCACGTTTCAGGGGAGCAAGGGCGAGAAAGGCGAACGCGGTTTCATGGTAAGGCCTCATATCGCCATGTGCCCCTCCCCCAAATAACATGCCGGGATCCGTCAGTGTACCTTTTTCAATTGAATATAAAACAATGAACCTTCACTAAAGCTTATTAATATAAAGATTATTAAAATAACCCTGGAATGGATATTAAATTCTTTAATATTCAATGTAGAAAAGCAACGTCTCCGTCACTAGACAGTAGCTGGTCACTTGTTAGTTACTAGACTACAGATACTGCTTCAGATACAACACATGTAAAATAAATAATAATACAATATAACTTTGAAGATTATATCAAAATCATTTAATTGACGAATTAAAATTATATTTTACCGCAAAATTTAGATGTTACAAAGAAATAATAATAGGAATTGTTAACTTCGTTAAGATACAGTCTTGTATTTCATTGTACGGATCCCAGTTATTAACATACCCGGTAGAATTTACCCTGGTTTACCCTGGCCGATTATAAATCAGTCTAGTAGTTTGTCTAACATTAATTCCCCTTTTAACTGTGTGGTACAAAACTTGTTTCATCTGCTAATAGGTGGTGTGTTTCCTTTTTTTTCTCTATTAATAACATTTCGCATGTTAATTTTACAATTTTCGTTATGTTTCTCCTATGTTGTCGTATCATTCTAATACTTCTGTACAATTTTATAATCTAACGCATGTTTCTTTATAGATATAAGTACAAAAATATTAAATGGATTTTATAATAGAGTCAATAATATATCAGGTTAGCATTATCAAATGTATTCCAGTGATCCATCCCTAATAGAACTAGAGAAGGATAGAAATTGACACAGTTTATTATAGATTATCGTAAATTGATACAAATTAAGGATTAAAATCGATTAAATAATAATATCTCTAAATGTATGAAGTACAGAGCAAAAACTAATGTAGCTGACAAAATAAAGCCCAAATGATTAATTTGTCAGACTGACATATCAACTGTCACCAGACCAATCACTATTGTTCTAGCATTGAACAAACCAATTCTGATGCAACATCATCAGCAGCCTATTAATAACCCCACTGCTGGGGCATAGGCTCTAGTTAATGATATCGAATCGAAAAGAGAGAATGGACCATGAATGAACCTCCCACGTTAGCCCAGTGCGGTTTAATCGGCTCAAATCTGATTACTCTACTGGTAATTGATATGTCATCTTGACATATTATTCAGGTTTGTATTTTGCACAAAAATAAAAACTAGGAAAAATCTTCATAAATAACTAATAATAATTAGTTTCTTTTAATTGATGAGATACGTGTTTTAGCTCTGTTTGTAAAAAGTTAAACTCGATTTTGGCAAAAACCTGATGTACTGGTGAGTGTACTTATAAAATTCTACGCTCATTTAATTACAATCCGCATATTTGTCTGGACCTTTATAATGAAATTATGAACTATAGGCTTTAAATATTAATAATAAAATCTTCTTACATTTTGCTTTTGGGTATGCAAAACTCGAAAAATAATTTATTAAATTGACTCGGCATTCTTATATCATTTGTATTATTACATTAGATATAAGGTTATCAAACTGATATCTCCTTGCTGGTTGCAGCCATAATATAATATAATCTAGCATGGTTGGGTGTAACTATTGCTGGTTCTATCTAGAAAGGATAAAAGCTTCATGATAATTGATAGCTGCAATATTGAGTTTCCTTAATTTTAAAAACATAATATTAAAACCCAAAAACTAAATAAAGGAAAGTTGTTTATTCTATGATATTAAAACTATTTATTGTATTATAATTTTCAGGGACCAATAGGGTTGGATGGTCCTAAAGGAGATCCGGTGAGTAACTATTACATAAAAATATCTTTATTAAATCAAAATCCAAGCTTAAGAACTGGTTTAATATAAATTTCAAAATAAAAATGAAGCATTTACTTTTTAATTTAGTTTTCTATCAGGATTTTGAATATACTGGTAGACTTAAAGAAGTTCTGAGTGTAGAAGCAAAATAAGGCATGCTTAAGTGTATTGTTTAATATAGTTGCCATGTTGATTCTATGTATTGATAAATTATTATAGTTTGTTATCTATATACGTAGGCATTTTTAATGAAAAATCAAAATTTTATATACAGGGTCGACCAGGAGATAAAGGTCAAAAAGGAGAACATGGAAGTCCAGGGTTTGACGTCTTCTCGGCCGTCAAGGTAATATTGTTTTTGCTTTATGTAACAATTAGTTATGAGAAAAAGCAAATTGAAATAGTTTTTTTTTTATTGTTCTAACTAGATATATGATAAACGCTCGAGACTTTTAGTACAAATATATACACTATACTATAAAATATATCAACACTATAATGAACTTATTTTCAAGATACTTTCAAGAACAGTAAATTTTCTACAGTAACTATTGGAACCTATAATATATATTTCTGAAGAAGATTATTACTTATTGGTATCATATAAATACAATGTAACGGAGACTGTACGAAATCTGAAAAACTATATACATTAACTCCATTTGCAAAAAATGTAAATCCCATCACTTATAAACTTGATAACCAAACTATGTTTGCGAATCATCGATACTTTTAATAATTCGACCAATTACCCGCAGGGTGTGAAAAGATCAGTGGACAACTTTAAAATAAGTCCGTACACTACAGCCGAGATCATAGCAGTTAAGGTACTAACACTCCACCACAGTAGTTAGTGCGATACTCGTAAACAAGCGAGCGATTCCATTATGCTTGAAAAGCGATCAGTTGCGCTATTATTATGGTTTATGGTGGTAAAGCGGTGTTATTATTTGTCGTAAATGCTATTTTTTGTTTTTATTTTCATTTATTTTGGCTTACTGCACTGACTTTCGATGTTTTACTTTAAAACCAATTCGATGCTATCTTGATTTATGTAGATGTTTGAAATCATTGCAATCTAATTTAAAACTTTTTTAATGGATTTCAAGGATCTTAGAATTTTTTTCAAGCCATATTGAATTCCTTTTCAAAACATTAGCAAATTGTACAAGATTTAAAATGTCGATATCTACAAAGTTACTATAGTAATATTTTACCCTAAACAACATCGATACTGATAGGAGATCATCAATATATGAAAAAAATAATAATTTGGGATTGTCAAATTAAAAGTTCTGAAATAGTTGTCTAATTATTCATATTTCATTGCATACTAGAATGAAATGAAAACGGATTTGATGCTCAATAACATGATCAATCAGATTCTATGTAGGATAATAATAGTAACAAAAAAGATATTTAAAAAACCCGAGAAGTGGAAAAACTTTTAGGTAAAAAATTATGTAATCAGCTGGCATCGAACAAGTCTATAATTCATTGTTAAGTTAAGCGAATAAATGTCAGTCATTTGATTCTAAATATCAGTGCCGTAGCCAGCATGCTTGTGTGTCTGTGTACTGATGGTGAGTGCGTGCAGGGTCTGCAGGCAGCAGGTCACAACATCTCGGCGCACACCGTCATACAACTCAAGGTCAGTTGCTTGTAAACGACTCTTGCTTACGGCTTTATCTCCTTAATTACATTTTAATCTTATCTGACACATGTTTCACTTCTTCGATATTTGTGAATGTATGCATGCCTTTTGGTTGTTGATGATTTTTTCCTCATGTCTTATTATTCTAGTTGATATAACAAATTAACTTACTGCCAGACATATTGGTTCTATTCTCTCTCATCTATTCTCTATAAGTAGCTTATCAATTTACTGTCATTTCGTCCCTAATATTTTCACTAATTTACCTTTACTACTAATGAAAATATAACGTTATTTTAACATGTTTATAATCATTAATTAAGAATATGTTCATTTTCTTTGACCTTTTTTACGTTTTTTTTTAAATATAATGTATGACGTTATTGAAATTATTAATACTTAATAATAGGGTGAACCTGGTGAGCCAGGTCCTCCGGGTCCCCCAGGACCTCATGGCCCAGAGGGGTTACCAGGGCATGATGGTCGTGTAGGACCCGCAGGTACGGCAGGACCACCGGGAGTACCGGGTCCACCGGGCCCTATTGGACCTGCAGGACCTATTGGACCCTCTGGACCAGCAGGACATAAGGTTAACAATTTTTTCTTTTTTTTTCATTATGAATAGTTATAGGAAAGATGTCGTGATTTTAGAAAATATATGTATTTGTGATTTTGCTAGACATTTTCTATTATGTATATCGTTGAAGAAAGTCCAATAACGAGTACTAATAATTACAATTATAATATTAATTATTCTATTGAATATATAATGATATTATTCTATTGAATTAAATGAAATGAAATTAAATTTTCAGTTAATTATCAATTTCCCTGTTAAATTTTCATTAAAAATAAATGTTTTATGTAAATCTAATGAAATGTTCTAATCTACACAAAATACAAATACAATTTACACATTACTTACTTCACAGGGAGATAAAGGCGACAAGGGCGAGCGTGGTTTCACGACAACTTTAAAAGGCGACGCATTCCCCACGGGTATTATCGAAGGACCTCCCGGGCCACCTGGACCGCCTGGTAATCAATTGACCTTTCTTCAGTTCTTTCTCACTTGCATGCCGCTTGGGCGCCACTGCGCTCTAACAAACACTGGATCTTCTCATTAATTACGTGAGACAAAACATTAATGATCAATTCAATAGTGCTTAATCGAATCTACTAATATATTTAATTTTATTATAAATACAAATATAAAATAAAACATTTAAAAGTAATAAAGTTTAAAAGTAATAAAATATATATTTGTTCTTACCTATATGGAATTTCATAATTTTAAATGCAAAACAAAGTTTAGGAAGCAAGTAACGTAATTATGAGAAGGCTCCGTAGATTATGTAAACGTTTAAGCATGCACGGTTTTCAAATAATTAAAGTATTACGAGGCCTTAACAAATGATCACCGTGTATGTATCTTCGTTGAATAAGCTTAAAGTAGCTGGAAGTATACGTAGAAATTAAATTTAATAATTTAACATCACAAACGCTAGAGCAAACACAGACGTAAATATTATTGCGTAGTTTGGAATGTTTGCAGTATCAGCCTATTAACATATTTAACATTTCAGTTGTTAGTCTTTTGTAGTTTAGTGTTCTGTGTATTTTTGTCTAAATAAATATAATTTGTAATTCACTGTTAACTTCGCTTTATTTATAAAAAATAAATTATGTAGTTGTGTTAAAATCAATATAGACATTCTGAATGGGACAGAAGACAGTAAGATAGACGAGACTCGATAATTTCTAGGTCATAACGAAAATTATGTAAGGATTCATTAACTAATAATAACCTAACAATAACCGAACCTACTGGTCTACTCTAGATTGAGACTTAGCCTTGATACATTTACAAGAACATCATTGATTATACATAATATAGTATAGAAACTTAAGGCTACGGAGGGAGGGATTTCTTTGGGGGTCATAGTAGGCACGCGAGTGCAGCAGCGTTGTGGTTGAAGGAGCGGAGGGTGCACGCGGGGAGCGGGGAGAGGCGGGGGCCGCTGGGCCTCCAGGTCCACCTGGTGACAAGGGTGCTCGAGGCAAACGCGGAAAGAGGGTAACCAAACACTCTTCTGCATCGCCCGCCGCCGAGAACGAAATCATCAGTTCTTATTCCTTCGTCTTCATATCTTTGATTCAGTTTCATGCTTAGACCTCTTAATTTTAGCGTGAGAAATATATTTTTCAGTTTCAATTTATTAAATTCTTAAGAAGTCGTTCAACATCGTATTAGTTCTTCTACAAGCTAAATCTCGGCGGCTGGTGTGTATATCACACCTCTTATTCTTCTGCCTATTGAAGTTTTTAGTAAATAATAATGCATGTATTGTATATTAAGTGCTTGCACTGATTGCATTTTATATAGGATATGGTGTGCATGCGTTTCGTAATCACGCACGCTAGTTGCCTTGTAGATGGTGTTGGTACAAATGACGACTAGCTTCAGTAGTGTATTTAACGCGCAAGTCCTATGATGGATTATTGTCACAATAGAGCTTCACTTCTCCCGAGAAACACGCCTCACTAACGCACATAATTTCAGGTAAAGGTCATGATTTCTTAAAAGTTGAAATAGTGTTTGTAGTTTTAAGGCAAATTTATATAAAATTTAAAGATAAATATATAATAAAAAACAGTATCTTAAAAACATGTTGTCTCACATAGATTTATATACTAAAATAAAATATTTCTATCCATTATTAAGAAACTTTAAATTATTTCGTTAAAGTTAGATGTTTAACACTAATCCATACTCAAAAAATTGCTAATGCTCTTCAGGCAAAGCGGGCGAAGCTGGACCGCGTGGACCGCCTGGGATAGACGGAGCCCCAGGAATTCCTGGAGTACAAGGGCCACCCGGAAAACCGGTTAGTATATGACCTTGGTATTGTTGACCACTTTATCTGCGCGTAATTCTATCTCCCATGAAAAATTCCCATTTATAAAAAAGATCGTTTCTGTACCTTATCTATAAAAACAAGTAATAAAAATACAACAAGAAACGATCATTGCGTTTTTTTTTATTATATGATGTTTCCAGGGAGAATTTGGTCCGAAGGGTTCAAAGGGCGAGTATGGCGATATGGGTTCACCTGGAATGCTGGGTGCGCCTGGCTTGCCTGGACCACCTGGATATCCCGGCCTTAAGGGGGATAAAGGCGATAAAGGCGACTCGGTGAGAGTAAACTTTCATTTATATATATCTAAAAAAGAAAAATAAAAGAAGCATAAAGTGCGTCTTTTAATCACATAAGTTTTAACTAAGATTAAGAAATTTGCAATAAAAGTATTTGAACGTAGCAGAAAATAAAGAACCTTTAATAAAGGATTTTATAATTATTAATTTGTTTAATAGAATTTTAAGAAAGTGGTATTATTGATTATTATATTGCGTATGTGTAACGTATCGCTGGTTTGTTCTCTTCTTGGTATCTGTGCGTGGCGGCTGCCGACCAGAAGTACAGGAAGCTGAGGAGAAGACAGGTATCTATTTACTCCTATTATAACGTTCAAAATAAAACTTTAATTTTGCTAAATATAAAGCGTGGTTTAAATATGAAATCATATCAAGTATCTGAATCCAAGTATAACCTTTTAAATATTTCTTGCTAGTTGTCTGACCACCGTTGAGGTAGTGAAGAAATTTTGCTACATACCGGGAGTGAGATTGCACGCATTTCTCCAATAAATAAACAACGAGCTATCTTTCTCGCTCTAGTAAAAGATGATTCTGAGCGACAGAAAAGTGCAAAAATGTACTACCAGATAAGCTCAAACCTATCTTCTCTATTATCTCAACAATAGACGACGTCCAGTGGTCAGTAAAAGATATGAATTACTATTTACACTATCTACGAGAATTTGTCTCAGCAACCCGAACTATCATAGAATATACTCGGTTCAGATTCACCTTAATGATGAGAACGTTAGCCAAGAGATTCAGCTAGAGTGAGAGTTTCGAATAATCGCCTTTTGCATTCTCATATTAGCTTATACAACCCAACGACAAAATGATGTACTCACTGTTCGTCAATTTCTAGTTCTATACGCTTGTTATTTCTCATCAGTGATCGGAACTAGGACTTCTACTGAAAATCATTTGTTCGATTCGATTCTTTCAATTCATCTTTGTCCAGGTGCCGAAATATTGCAACTTCTCTAAGTTTTCCATGAACTGTTAATCTTTATGCCCACTGTTGAACTTACAGGGAGACGGCACTGGGTACGAGCTGTATGGTCATGAGATGGTAAGTCAATTTTCAAGTCGATTTATATTTTCTAACCTAGAAATATTGCCTTCAACTTTTGTTTCACCAATACCAACGTAATTTTATTCTTTTTTTATTTTAATACAACTTAAGGTCTCACCTGCAGATGCAGAATCTGACCAACGGCTTGACGTATATATATGTTTTTTTTTGCCATCCATCCTATTTCCGGTTCTTGGTAATTTTTTTAAATTTCCTCGTCGCAGACCGCTAACCACTGCGTCATCGAGCTATACTTGACAAGTTACTTTGACTTGCTAGAACATAGCATATTATAAGCTATACTTATGTTAAACCTTAATCTTCACATATAAGTTAAGTTTCTACATAGCTTTAGGAGGCTAAGTAAGGTAACTATCTTTATTCTTTTTATTTTTATTCATTATATATCAATCTACATTCCATATTTTTATTTGTTCACACTGAATATCTAATGGACCGATTTTACTAAACAATTCACCTACCATGTCGTATTCCGCGCGTAAACTATAGCTTATGTCACCCGCGTATAACACGTATACATAAAATCCTACTTGTTGTGCCCGCGACATCGTGTGCGTGGAAAGTTGCCCAAGTTATTCCTTATTACATAAGCTATCTGCCAGTGAAAGTCCCATCAAAATCGGTCCAGCCTTTCACAGACACACAAACTGATAAACATGTTATTTAGGCATATGTACCGTTTACTTTTTCATTCTAGATTTAGTAAAAGCGGCTATTTTAATATTACAAACAGACACTCCAATTTCCATAACTTATAATTTATGCCGGCGAAGAAAATATTAATTGTGTCAAGAATTACATCCTTAACTAAAATCAATAAGTAAATTTTCAAATAGTCGACAAAATGTAGTAAACATGTATCTGTAATTGTTTTTTTACAGGTTTAGAGAAATTATTAAACTTTATGAACTTAAAATTTTATCGGTAATAATATGAAACGCTTTGCGTTTCCAGATGATGGGCCCGCCGGGCGCACCGGGGCCCGCGGGCCCCCCCGGCGTGGCGGGTCCCCCCGGCATCAAAGGCGACAAAGGCGAACCTGGTCTGCGTGGCAAGGCTGTGAGTATATTAGATACTTACAATGGGATGTTTATTAGAAAGTAGTATAGGGTAGGACCATATCTGCGAAGGTTGAAAGTTATTAAATTTTGCACACTCGACATGTGATCCATAGTGAACTAATGCATGCTTACATAATAAGTTGGACAAATATTGTAACCGACCTTTAAACTATGACTTAATTATAGATATTCTCAATCGTGCGATCTTGACAGAGTGGTCGGGGTTTTTCTGATATCAAACAAGATTATAAGTATGCGTGCTGGACCCTTATTCCCTTTGACAATCGAGATTGCACTCTAGAAACTTAACACACGGAAACCACATCAATATCACATCTTACCCTAACCATGTCACGGTAACGAATATGCTGAATCATTCTATTCCGTATTTATTTATACATGCCTAGTCTATTTCTGGTTTCACCATTGATTTCCCTTTTAGGGGTTGCATAGTGTATGTCCCTCACCAGAATATTAAATTTGATGTTAACACATGAGTTGCCGATGCCATGTCCTTAAATATGAATGATTTTGACTTGGCAAGACGCGACGCGGGCAATGGTCGAATTGTCTCAATTTCTATTATTAATTGAGTAACCAAAGCAGATACCTCTGCGGAACTGCTAAAATCTGAAACAGGTCAGGAAGACGAAGTGTTTCACCCTAGAAGCTTTAATATCTTCTTTAAAAGCTGTCCGCATGCCAAGAAGAACGAGTGACAACGGTCTAGTCCATGTATCAGCATGACACATGAGTGCTGACTTAAATTGGCGGTGGATTTGTTCCACCATGCCATTGGCACATGGTAGCTGGTGGTACGAATTCTTTTAGAACCACAGAGGTTCATGACCGGCTGAAACAAGGAGGATTCAAATTGTCGCCCCAGGTCGGTGGTGATTGAACTGGACAGTTCAAACTGTTCGATGGGCGAATTAATATGTCTTGAAATTTTGTTTCTTTGGCACTGAATGCAGTAACGTGTCTATTCGCGATAATCTTTGTTTATATTTGGCCAGACATAGCGTTCTGACACCAAACACGCGGTGCCTGTGCACCTGTGCGCCTGTGCTCTGTAAATTGGTTACAGCGGTCAAATGCAGATCGATGGAACTGTGGCGTTAGATAAGGTTTAAGTCTGCTAGTGGAAGTGTCACATAATAATGTCATACTGGTTCCTGGAATTGGAATGAGCTCCAGTTACAGAGACAAGGTTTTACGAATGTTCGCCAGCTCTTCATCTGTTTGCTGTGCCTTGGCAAGAACTTCGTAATCTTGTTTTAAAGTCACAGGATTAATGTGAGACATTACGTCAGCAACAACATTTTCTTCCCCTTTAATGTGTTTTATGTTCTTAATTGGATACAATAGCATCAATTAATAAAGGTTGATATTGAGCAGCATGAGGGATGAATCGGCGATAGAAATTTATCATGCCTTGCACTGTTTGGGGTGGAGGAAAAGTTAATAAATCCTGTACGCGAGTTTGAGGAGGACTCGTGCCTTCTGCGTTGATAATGTAGGCAAGGAACCTTACCTCTTTTGCACCAAAAGTACAATTAGATATATTGATGATAACTCCATATTCCTTGAATCGATTGAAAAGGATGCGGAGATATTCCTTGTGACTGGTCTCATCTGGTGAAAAAACGAGATCGTCGTCAACGAAGGAAAGCAGAAATCAAGACCTCGTGTGGCCACATCGATAAAGCGTTGGAAAGTTTGCCCAGCATTTTTTAATCCAAAACTTATACCGGGTGTTACAAAAATACCCGTTATAGCTGAAGGGTGTTGAAGTATATCATATAAACAGTATTCTGCCAAATTTTCAAAACCTTTGCATTAACTTTTAACTTTCAGTAAAAAGGCTAATTTTTAATAATTAATAAATACATCGAGTGTGCTATGTCACATCACTATTTTAGGTTAACGACCTTACCAGGAGTAATGGCACACTACCTATCTCCTATGTTTTCTAATATTTTTTTTCTATTCTCCTAGTACACACCCACACATACACACTAAGAATGAGAGAGTAAATATACTTAAAAACATGTCTGCGTTTGCCAGTTTACACAGTAAATACTTAACCTAGAAAATACTTAACCTATTTCGATCGAAAATAAAATGAAAAGAAATTAAATAGGAATCAAATCATTGGCAAAATGGTATGGTAACCGACGCTGTTCAGCCGGTAGTCTAATTTCAGTAAAAAATTTATAATACATATTATTATCAACACGCACATCATTTCATAGCATCGTTTCCGACTCAGCTGTTTCTGAATTACAGATCAAACACCATAGATAGGTAAAATTTATTTAAACACCGATATACGAGTCTAACTTTTAGTTCATACTTTAATGGTCCGACAAATCTGATTGATATTACGATAATTAAAAAAAATATGATATGCGACATAATTCACAAACGATTTTGGCGTATTTAAAAATAAATATTTCCGAATTACTATTTGTACTTTACCTTTTCACTTCCTTATTCACTGTTTAAGCATTACTTGTGAGGTTCACTCACCTACACTTTATTAGGCACTTAATTTTATTCCACAAGAAAAAACTAAAGATCGCGGCCAACCTCTGGTTCACTGACGTTTCAGTATAATTACATCTTTTCAAAATAGTCTCAATTTATATCAATACAACACTGCATCCGATGTAACACTGATAAAAGCACTTTTCATAGTACTCGGAATTAGAGAACACGAACATTTTCGAAACGTGATCACATCGACGACGTATGAACAACTGAATAAAGAAAAAGTAATAAAAAGGGAAAGCCGCCAATTTGAGTCCTTTATTATAAGCCGCTGCATAGTGTGCGGCATGTCAAAGGCGCACAGAAAGGTACCTATAGTTCCGCAATTAAATCTGAGAAGTAGCGGGATAGGGTTGCTATCTTCTCTTATTAGATCGGAAAATTTGTCCTTAAAGTCGGACTAAGTCAAATCTCTCGCGAAGCCGTAAAACAATATTACCGTAGTAGACAGTAATATTAGTTCACAGCTTCGCGAGGGTTACTGCCTAGTTATTCAGAGGGTGCGTTAAGCAAAAATCACTAACTTTCAATTGATTTTGTAGTAAGACGTAACATACAAATAAGCGGTAATTAAAGATAAGATAACTACATCATAATTTTAACGCTTTTATCACAGCCAAAACGTGAATTCATAAAATAAGGCTTGATCGTAACATCAAAACTGCACAACCTATTTTGAAAAAGGTTTTTTTTTTATAAAGTAATTTCGGAGACTATACGATGCAAACAAACTAACGATTTGTATTCAAATTTCGCAAATGCCCGTGCAACACTGCGTCTTTTTGGGTATTTGACGTTTTTCGAATTTGTGTGTATTCATAGTATATTTGATATAGCTTCGGCACAGGTATACCAAAAACCTATGAAAACTATACCGCCGAACATGTGACATTAACATTTAGCTGCACACAATCTAAAAAGTCAAACATGTCCCGCTAAAGACGGATAGATGACAACCCTAGATAGGCGGCAATGTTAAAGTTTGAGCCTAAACTTCTAGTTGCCTAGTACCGAGGTGATCAACATTTTATTGTACAAATTAAAAAAATCGTTGCAGGACATTGTTGCAACAAATTTTTTACATACGTACGTAAGTACATAATACGTATTAGGAATTGTTAATTGACAAAGATTTTGTAATTTTTTATTGTTGTTGATAAGATAGTACATGGTTGTATTTTTAGTGTTTACAAACTTAAACGTTGTTAATGTTTGGTAAAGACTAGTTTAAGTGAGAAATGTGATATACTTTCACGCTGCACCTGCAAAAGAGCATGCTTGGCTCAGTCTGTAGAGAGGAAGTAGCATCGACTATCATAAGACATCGTTAAATAAATAAATTAATGTATTTCGTGGGCCGTAGTAATGTGCATACAATCGACATACCTGTTTAAAATTTTAACTCATTTTATACACCTTTTCTATTTTGAACTATTTTTCAAATTAATGACCATTTGTTTGTTAGCTGTGTCGGTCGTTTTAGGGCTTTTTCTATTTAAGGAAATAGGTAAACAGTACATAATAAAACGTCTCATTCATTTTCATTTCTTACAGCATTAAAATAGTGAATCCTATACTCTGATTCTAAAATTTATTCAACTGAATTTACACAGCCACACAGTAATAAAATAGATAATAAATTAAAATCCGTACCGAATGTTTACTACTACCGTATCTAGCGTCAAGTCGTCACTCGCGCGCGACATCACACAAACACGAACGATAATGTTTCATTTCTTTCTCTCTCTCTCTTTCCCTCCCTCTCTATCTCTATCTTACATCATTGTACACTCGGGGGAATAAGTGAATTTGTTTTAGGCTCGATTTTACCGATTATGTATTGATTTGTCTTACGTATTAAAATACCTAAACAATAAAAAATATTTTTAAGAGTTAAGCTACTGAAGTTATTTCTTAGCACCGGATACAACCCTTCCTGCGCGAGTCCAACTTTCACGTGGCCGGTTTTTTTTTTATAATTAGTTGTTAGCAGTTTGATAAAACTAGGACTTTTGACTAGTGAAATATAAAAAAAACTTCAGTTATTGAGAATATTCAGTTGAGATTTTGTACTTTTCTTAATTCCGAAAGCGGCTCATTGTCGACATTTTTTCTTGTCAGACGCTTTTAAGATACCTAAGTGTAGTGCATATCATTAACTCTAAGGTAGCAATCCATTTTACTTGAAACAATTTACATGTAGTAAGAGTAAGTGGTTGAAATCATAATCGGAAATGATCATATTCCCGATTAAGGTTCATATTCCATTTTAAGTCTGATCTTTTTATTGTAAAAATATTAGAAAATAAATAAATTGACCATAAACACAATTGAAATATGTACACGAATATTGATCAATGTTTCAATTTATTCCCCGACTGTATCTGCGCTGACGTCATATTAGGTTTACTTTCGTAACAGAAGATTGTAGGTACGAGTACCAGGATATCATGATTTAAAGACACGATGTGTAAAAATTCTGGTTCAAATATGAAGCAGCTACAGATAATCAAAGTTACCTGGAAGACACTCAGTGATATATGTCGCCTACTTCCATAATATTGTAATTATTTTCATAAAAATGAAACTACCTAATTATGAAAAAAAATTGTTCGTGCAATAACGAATATTCTACTTATCTAGAGGTCGCGATATTTCTTCTTCCTCTGCTTCTCTATTTGTTTAGATTAGATGAAATTGATTTTATGAGTACATTATTAAGTGACGTGTCGTAGCATTAATTATAAAGATTATTATTTTGGATGGGCCGTCTACAGTTCGTAAAGAGATATTGTACGAGCATTTCAGGCGAAAGTATTTAATCCAGTGCAGTGACTATAGCGTACTGTTTATTGTTTGTTTCCGTGCCTGATATGTGCGTAGCACGGGCATAGTAATATGGCAAGGTATATTGGAAAGGGAGCTCTAATCTGAATAAAAACGAATTTTGGAAATAGTTTTAAAATAATGTTTTCGTGTAATATTTTGCATGTTCGAATATTTGCGTATGTACACATAACTAGATAAATTATTTCGCTGTACTGTGACGTAGGCACTAAATACCAGAAGATATAACCAGTCTGGCAAAATAATAGTCTTTGATTTAGAAGTCAATGAACTGAAACAGCTGATCATAATGTCGGTGTGCTTCGATAAATGGTATCGAAAATTTTGCTAAACTTCGATATTGTTTTTTTCAATAAATACAATGGCTACGATATACAGGACAGCGTCCATTATCTCAGTTTTATGTATACTCAATGCCATTTTCGGGGTAACGGGTTTTTTTGTAACACGCGGTATATGGAAATTCGTAGAGGCCAAATGGGGTGGTGATTGCGGTTTTGGCAATATCCTCTTGGAGTGCAACAGAACTTTGGTGGTAAGCTTTTACCAGATCATGCGCGCTGAAGATAGTTGCTCCACTAAGACTGTTGGCAAAGTCATGAATATGCCTCACTGGATAACTATCCGGACTAGTCTTGGCGTTCAAGGCGCGGTAATCACCACAAGGACGCCAAGTGTTACCCTTTTTCAAGGTCATATGGAGCGGAGATGACCAGAGACTGTCAGATGGTCTTGCAATCCCAACGCTTACCATGTCTTCAAACTTCTTCTTGGCAGAAATCAATTTCTCCGGAGCGAGACGGCGTGGCCAACAAGAGACGGGAAGGCCATCTGTAGTCTTGATGTAATGGAGAGTGTCGTGTTTGACAACTCTTGAGAGTCTAGGAGGAGGAAAGTAGAAGAGTAAATTCATTACTTTCTGAAGAACAACCTTAGCCGGTGATACCATCGACTAACCGTTTGGTTCAACAATCTCGTAGCAAGTGGTATGGACCAAAAAAGCTGAGCCGATGATGGCGGCGTTGATATCGGCGATAATGAATCGCCAGATGAAACTTGGACGCAGTCCAAGATCCGGAATAAGACTGATGGTGCCAAACGTCTTGATGCAACTTTCACTTGCGGCGCTGAGTTCAAAGTCTGAGGTTTTCCTCGGACTTGAGAGCCAGCAGTGTGGGAAACAACACAAAACTGAACCCGTGTCAATAAGAAAATAACATGTAGCATGTAATGTCTACCATGTAGGCAATCGATCTCTTGATCTCTTGCCTTCTACACAGTCCTGTACTATCAGTCTTTCCATCGAGTTATCATTCCTGATCATTTCCTGATAATGTGATCAAGGAATTTCATGATATTAAGGAATTTCATGATTGCACAATCGACGAGAATCGCCCCTTAAACTTGCATTCCATTGAATAAACGTACCATTAAAAACACAACTTTATCTGGTTTATCGTATATTTTCGAAACTGATTCCAATACATAGACTTTTTTACTAACTTTTCTAAGGCACTATGATCATGGTATTCGATATTTTTTTAGTCTAACACTACATACTAAAAGCTGACTGCCCAGAACTCTGTTTGCCCTCCATAACCCAGAACCTGGATACGCGTATCCATGATGATAGCATGAGTGAATGCCAAGGTGTTTTCAAGCCTGGCATGTGGTTGTGACGTTAAGAGACATCATGTTCTCTGAATCGGTGTTTATTGTCAAGTAACAGATGCATAGATCCAGTGAACCCCATTAAACCATAATGAACGTTTGTGCGACTCAGAGTTAATCTGTTTAAGAGTCTACTTAAATATCTGGTCTGGGTCTGGTACTTAGGTAAATGAAAGTCCGATTAAGCTTGATAATTTGATACATAGTATAGAACCCTTCCTCGGATTGTGAAACAAATAGAACTTTAATACGTTTATAATGTTCTTTACTAATTTATTATACGTGAAAATAACAGAACTAGCAATAATAAATGTATTTTGACAAATTCTTACACTTTTTGTATCACAAATTGATGCAATATTTTCACTGCATAAATTTTCACGAGCTGATATTCAGAAAAAGCATATCCCGTTACTCAACATTTTAAATTACGAAAAGTAAATAACAAAAAACCAATTATGTTAAAAATCATAGACAAAAAGTTAAGACGAAATAAACGGTGTGGTACGACGCGCCGTTACACGACCTTGGATTTTTAGGCCTGCTGCCATCAAACTCACCTCAAAACTTTTAAAATATTTCTTATTGTACTCTTATTCAAAAATTTGTGAAGAAGTCTAAATATATTAAATAAAAATCTTCTAGAATTTTATTGCAAGTTAAAATATGAAGTAGGCTAAATAAAATTATTGCCCTTAGTTAGAAATTCTGACACGGGAAAGATACATAATTATTTATTTCTTGATAATAAAATAATGTTCTTTTTTACATTGCAGGGTGAACGAGGTGAAAAGGGTGATGCGGGACCAATGGGACTACCGGTAAAATTACGATTTTCGTCATTTTATTTTCGTACCATTTTGATATTCGATCCGACTTAGAATCGTAGCCGGGTTATTAGATACGGCAAAACCTTAAAACTGGTATTTGAGCTAATGTGTCACGAGGGTTGTCAATTTACTATAAAAAAAAAATAGTTGTTTCTGTATATAAATAAAAAATGAGAAAAAGTTCTTGATAACTTTCTTGTTGGTTCTTCTGCGGATAAGTATCCGATTGTAAAATAAACTGATGGATTATTTATAATTTCTTATGTGCTTGTTAACAACAGAGTTAGTCTCTGTTGTTAACAAGCATATATAGCAAGTTTTTTTGAGATATATATAAAAATCAATAAAAAATAATTCTAGGGTCCAGTTGGTCTACCAGGCGAGATAGGGCGGCCGGGAGAGGGCGGCCCCAGAGTAAGCCTTCCTTTGCATCCCGGTAGATAAACACCTCACTTCAATTACTTAACTAACATGGTTGAGGTGCTACATAACAGTAGTTAGACTTTACGCGACGGGCAGGGCTGCCAAACTTCATAGTCCTATGAGTGGTTGCGTAAGCGTCCGGAAAGTTTCGTAACTGTCCGGTACTGTAAAAAAATATTTTATTATTGTCATCCTAAGTAACAACGTTAATAAACAATTATACGATACATATTTTCTTAATTTTTGAATAATATTTTTAAATGAAATAATAATTTTGGTTTGGCAACACTATCCGGCTGTATGTAACTCGCACTAACCTTTTGCTAAAGTGTGGTGTGTGGGTACCTACAGGAGAACCGTTGGCCGCCAGACTTCGCATTCACGTAGTGGGCACACCATCGCCGCCGCGGCCGCTAACTAACCCGCTTTGCTGCTAACTCACACCACGCCCGCAGAGATCCTGCCAATCATTAGTCTATAAGTGTTGAACGAATGTATAAATAAATAGCATACGATATTTGTCCCTGTTAAATATCTAATTCCATAGAGCCGTAATTATTCTAGAATTACTTGAATATATTTTTCTCCGCGCTTTTCTGTTTGACGGTTTATTTTGTAATGTATTTCTTAACAACTGAGATCGGTTACTAATTAGTAATATTTTGAGAAAAATAACTATTTAGTTGCTCGCCAGGTGATATGTTATGGAAAGTTGATGCTGTTAATTATTAGTAAGTTAGTGTTTTCTCTTTATTTTCTATGAGCGTTTTCTCACTAAAATTGTAAAAATATGTATTAATAAAATAAATACGTAAAGTTAAGTATGTCTGTACAATATAGAAGTTTATAAGGACCTTATATCAACGAGCAGAGTGACTATTTTTAAACATAATTATTTGTATATTTGGCAAAGGAATCTTAACATTTATGGACCGGGTGCCAACTATTCTAAACTGTAATTAATTAATATTTATTAATAAATCTCGGTTAAAATGTATTATGTATTTACAGAACCCTAAGACTAGAATTAAGCAAAACGTTATAAGGCGTACCTAAGTATGTGATATGCGTTAGTTGTTAGCTTGTAAAGTTATTATTGACTTATCACTTTTTAAAATAAATCTTTGATCATATCTCCTTATATGTGCATAATATAATACTCGTTCTATTTCTAAATATGGGAACTTAAATTACTGTAGATAATTTTCTTATCTTAAAGCCTGTTCATATGTCATAATTGTATCGATTAATTGTCATTGTATCTTTTCATTATGCATTGTACCTTTAATATAATTATATTACCTTTAAGATAATATACATAGGGTATAAGCAGGCGGTAGATTTTGTCTATGCACAAAACCTAACTGATAGGATATATTACTGAATCTTTCTGCTGCCAAAATTCAGTACTGATTATTATTTCATAATTTTTAGAAATTTGACAATGAGAATTGATATTGAAAAAGAATTGATTTTTAATTCAATTATATATCAGTATTAGGATGTAGAATGAATAAATAATTTATTTTTAACAGAAAAACCTTCACAACTGCTTTCTAGCAAATTAACATTAAAATGAGTTCAAATTATTTTGAATGTGAAGAATCACTTGGAATATTAAAGTTTTCGAGTAAGAATAACTTTTATCACTTAACATGACAAAAATTTTGCTCCGAACACATAATTAAATCTGTGCATTCTAATACAATAAAAAGATATATATTACTAAAGCACATCGTACCGGTTTGTTTACTGTATGTGCAAGTGGTACACTCTGAGTCGAGATTTCATTAAAATAACGGAGATTACAATATGTTAACTTTATAAAAAAAAAAAAGTTCCAAATAAATTATTAATATTGAGTGTAAATCTGGAGTTAATTGGTTTAAAACCAACATCACTTCAAAATTTATCGCCTGCTATTCTCAAGGCTACGCCACATTTCCAACGTCCATCCGCTCTCGGATTATATGAGAAAAACTAGCTTATGCCCGCGACTTCGTCCGCGTGGTAAAGTTACTCTGAGCAGCATTTCTAACGAATATTTATTCAATATATCGTGTCAAAAACCTTGAAATAAAGTTTCATCCCCTATTTTATCCCCTTAGGGGTGGAATTTATCAAAATACTTTCTTGGGGGATGCCTACGTCATATTAGCTTTATGCATGCAAAGTCTCAGCCCTATCGGTTTAAAATTGATAAAGTTCCATACAAACTTTCATCCCCTATTTTATCCCCTTGGGGATAGAATTGATTGAAATCCTTTCTTAGCGGATGCCTACGTCACAACATCTACCTGTACGGCAAATTTCAGCCTGATCCGTCCAGTGGTTTGAGGTGTGCGTTGATAGATCACTATGTCAGTCAGTCACCTTTGAGTTATAATATATATTTAGATAACGTTCAAATGCAATAAGTGCTATAAATATTGAGTATTAACGAAATGAATACATTATTAAATGAATATTCATATAAATTATTTGCTGGGAGCGGAATAGTGTTTGGATTGTGCACGCCCATACTTAGTATTACCGTCCGACGTTGCGCCTCGTTTTAGGGTACATATTCCTTAATTCCACCATTACGACGAATCAGATTTTTGTAATTTAGTCAACTTAAAAAATCTGACTGCATGATAGTCGTAATGAGATAAAAAGTATGTGTAAGTCCCTACGACGGGGCTCGCCCTCATGTTGAGTCGTGTGTAACCTATATCCTCAATTTTATCATATTTAACATTCTCTTCGTGTAATTATAATGATGTAATTAAAAATTTTAATGTTCTTACGCATTTTAAACGTGTCTGGACTTCGGAAAGTGGTGTTCATGTGTAAATTTTTACTTAGGTATTTATTGAGTTGCAATTAGTTGTAACTACTTTCCATCACAGGTTTCCACTGTAATTGTCTAGAAAGAAATCCAGATACGTTCTAAAAATGTATGTTGGCGTCTAGACAACCAAGTTAAACACGAATGTACAAATACTATTGACCTTTAGAATAAGTTCTACTAAGTAAAATACTTATTCCTTATAACTACTTTACAAACCAACCAAGTAACTTAATCTATCTCCATTTATACCTTGATTTTTAAAGTACTCAAATTTTCTTAAGTCGTTTTATATTGTAACTTTAACCTCATGATTTATAAAATTGCTTGAATTTATTACATTAATTAGTAAGCTGACGATAAATTAGTCGCCCTAGACGTTATTAATTCAAACTATGCTATCTTTGGATTCCCTCTCCATTATATTGAAAAACTACGATGACGTACCAATGCCCCTTATTTGTACTTTAGTGTAATATAAGTGTACTATTAAGGTTTAGTTTTTCTATGAGAATCGAAAGTTGTCATTTGTACCATACGTCACGAGAGCATAAAAATATTGTTGTTTACAAATTATTTTGAAGGAAAATAAATATTTGCATGCTGTGCATATTGATCTTTCCTTTCTCTCTGTCTCTTTACACATAACCATTCTGTTTTTCTGGATTTCATTGGAAATCAAATAGACTTAAATGAGCGAAACAGCATGAAATAAGGTTGTCTAAAACATTTACAATGCACGTTTGATCGTGAATGAGCCTCGTGTGCAACGTGCGTGAGGTGTCCCGCTGACCCGTGCGTTGTTCCAGGGCCCGCCGGGACTCGACGGAATGAAGGTGAGCCGCCGCAATATCAGCACAACCCCTGCCACGTGCCACAAGATATCACTAACGATATGCGTCATCAATCACACACCAAAAATCCAAAACTTATATAAACAACTCAAATACTAACGTAAATAATTAAATATGAGCTTGTCATATGATCACAGTGGTTGAATTATATTAAATTTGATAATTTGTTAAAATCTCAAATACACATGCACATAAACATTATTGTATAAGTAAATTAACATAGACAAAACTAACATTTGGTGTGGTGCCACAGGGCGCGCAAGGAGAACCAGGTTCCAAAGGCGAGCGAGGTGATCCTGGACTACCCGTACGTCACACAAATTCTCGAGCTACACAGCATCGTGCGCTTCACATGCACAGGGTTACCATATTCAATACGAAAGGCCTGTCGATCGAATTTATATTTCTTCTTATTTTTTTATACAAATGTCTAATGTAAACGGTGACAGTCTCATAATAAATACCAGAATGGCTTTTTCATATTTACTGATACACATATTAAAGTACTCTAAACATTACATTAGCCGACGCATTTTCAAAGCTAAACTTAACCCAATGCTTTATAATATTTCCAGTAGATTTTGACCCTATGTTGGTGTAAGCGCGCGATGTAGCATTATATTGCCGAGTTACTTAGAAAGGGTTACCTAAAACTAATATGCTACTGGCAAAATTTCAGGGTACCGATGGAATTCCCGGTCAAGAGGTTAGTTATGATTTACTAACATACAAAATATTGCAATCAGTGATATTATTTTTGCATAACAATATATCATTTTCGATCGATAGGGTCCGAAGGGTGACAAGGGGTATAAAGGAGAACCTGTAAGTCACGCCTTGTATGCTTCCACTTCCAATGCTTATGTTGCATCCAAAGTACAAAATATACTTTGCATGGAATACTAACTATTTATAACCATGTATAATTTATTTTTTATTTAAACCTTTAATAGGAAAAGATAATAAACCTAATGATGATTTTTCTGCGCATAGCTCGAGATTTGTTTTTTTATGATTACACAATACTACAAAATAATTTCTGCCGTTATGTAATGTCACACTTACGTATTTTTATCAGACTCAGTATAATAATTTATAAACAATCTTAAAAAAAAGTATGCAAACTATCTATGCTTAATGAATGAGATTTCTTTTCCGCCGTGTAAAGGCTCTAAGATTGTAGAAATGAAATGAAAAGTGCGTTATGTTTTAATGGCATTAACAGCTTTATAATTTTGTGCACAAAACAGGGTCCAGTTGGCAAACGAGGACGCAAGGGCGACAAAGGCGACAAGGGAGAGCAGGGAGTGCCGGGACTAGACGCGCCGTGTCCATTGGGACCAGACGGTCTACCGCTACCAGGATGTGGATGGCGCCCTACAAAGGTAAGACTCAAAGCATTTGTGCGATCTTCAGCTAATGCATAGTAAACTATTAATATGACCATATTAATCTTTTTAATGAATATATTAATCTTTCGAATAGTGTTTTTAATAGGGTTTTTTGGATCCTTCAGATTGTTTTTTTTTTTACTAAATACTTACTAATAAATGTTTGCAATAACCGAATGCTGGAAGTTAATATTACTGATTGTATTCCACTTGTAGGTGCATAAACTAACGAAAATCTTTAAGTTGTTATGAAGATTTAAGTGTCGAATACTTTAAAATTCCATTTCTAGCTTTAAAAGCAAAGCTTAGCGCTTCATGGCAAATATAATTGTTAGAAATAAACTCTATCTTAAAAAGCATAATTTTCAAGATAACCTTAGACCATCAAATATGGCCATAAGTAATGTTTGATTAGATGTCATTAGTTATTAATATAAAGGCACCATCATGTTTTTAAATACATGGTAATTTATATCTACAACTAATACATAACAAATTTGTAGTATTGCTTGTATTTAATTTGGTGTCGGTGGGCATGGCAAGCAGGAATCAGCAGCTGCGACACCAACTCGTGAAGAAACAGGCATGGTGGGAGGAGAGGGGTCCGAAGAAGAGGAAACAGAAGGGGAAGAATATGAGGGGAGGGAGGATGAGCTGGATGCACCCAGTTACGATGACTACACGGACAACACTCACCTTGCACTACACCGCGACTAAACGCTCTCTCTACTTTCTGCTTGATTTCTTTTTATTTTTTTTGTTATATGCTCATTTATAATGTCCATTTTTCTCTGCAGGTCTTCTTAGTGAACGCTAGTTAAGCCGACAGATTTTACCTAACCTACTCTTATTTATTTAAATTAGGTACACTTACAGATTACAGTCAACACATGACTTCGACAAATATATTATATTACTTAGTCTAGACAATAATCCAAAATTAGTGTACACAGCATGATCCATAATAGAGGACGGTCAATACAGTCCCAGCAAAAAAAAAAGAAAACTAACTTATTCTATCGAATGACTTCTATCCAAAAAAAAAAGGATTATTTCGTAGGTGATGATACCTGGTCTTTAAGGAAATTAGTTATAATCTTTTTATATCTGGAGAATTTGTGGTCAAAGATGTTGATTTCATCGTCTTTGCTACTACGGGAAATCTCATTAAATGTACTACTCTTATTATTAAGTTTCATAAAAATGAAATAAAAACTTTTCTTTTAATATGATTATTAGCGAAACAATTAGTTACGTGAAATAATTCAGAGATTGAAAAATGAACCAAATCGGTGCAATCTCTTGGAAGCAAAATATTAATAACATTTATTTGATGATTTTTGGTATTGTAATCTATTGTAAAAACATAATATTTCTCGTTATTGTCGCAACAACTTCCTTTGATACATACTAATATTTCTCACTATTCACAAATAAGTAAAAAACGATATTTATTTAATACCATATTATCCCATTAAAATTATACCACTAAATAAATAATATTCAATAGACTTAACTCAAATCATGATTTACCCTTGACTTACTTTACAAATTTCTTTACTTAATTTTCTTTTAAACTGGTGTAGTGGCTAACTGAAATAAGTTCTTATTAGTAGTAAGTAGAACAATTTGATTAACAATTAATCATAATTTTCCTCAAATTAACCACCATGAATTTAATATACTCATGTTATTTTTATATATTTACATTAATTTAAATTTATAAACATTAATTTTGAATTTAAGTTTTAATGACATCTCAAACCACAATTTGCTACTTATATTTAATAGTATTATATGGATGAATGTTGAAACTTACAAACGGGGGCCAATTCTACTAAATAAATTTTGTTTAAATCGACTCGATAACGGATCGAAACCGCACGAAACTATAGTTTTTAATGGTTTTCCTACATTATTTTATACAATTCCAGTTCTATTTAGTAGAATTGGTCCCCTGGACGGGAGCGAAGGTTACACAAATTTTTGGCGACTGACGTATCCGCTAACAACTTAAGTCCATCATTTTTATCTAATATTCTGTTAGGTAGCAACAAATTCAATCATTTTTAATAAAATCCCATGAACTGATTATTATTTTAACAAATATAATTACTATTAGTAATTCATTGAGCGAGAGGGTGTCGTGAATTAATAGGTTCTCAAAGTTATTTGATTTAATTCGCTAAGATATTTAACGAGTTCCCCAAAATTGTCCCACCCTTTCGTCCCATCGTCACTTGCTGGGTGTTTTGATATTTCGAAGTCTTCGTACTTTAAATTAACAGATCAATATTTTTTCTCAGGAAGCGTTTCTTCAATGGGTGCGACGTCGGTTAGACGTCGAGAACGATCTACCACTACTTTAACGATTACTTGACAAAACATCGCCACGATGAATCTGTGAGAATATTATTGACAATTATTTGTGTAATGAACACCAGCACCAGTGTTTTAGAAGTCCGCTTCATGAAGAATAACTCGTCACTCTTTGAATAAATAGAGGAGACGTTAGACAAAGAATGGAAAAGATGTTTTATACGAGAATTATAAAAGTACCTAACGGCGTCTATCTATCATTGGCAGAACAAACTAGTCTATAATTTCGCATTGTCATGCTTCATCATTAAATAGACTTTTTTGTATGCGTCTCTTATATTTTGAGTCTACTAAGTATAAGTTAATTATTTATTTCCATAGTTAAAATTTTATTCATATATCAACATTTTTTTCTATGAAAATCGTGACTTAAATTTATCTCCAAACATGTATAATATAAATAGTGACATGTGCACGTTATCAACAAACCAAATGTTCGTTTCAAAAACAATTATGAACATTATTGGGATACCTAATTTATGTTATACTTGTAACTATTTGAATAATTACCAGTTTGTACATATTGATATGGCTACAGTGTATTACATCATAGATAAAAACAATCGATAGCAAAGAAAGTTACTGAATTTTTCAAATATTTGTATTCGTTTTAATCTCTATTAAATTCACAAATAAATTTGAGATGGTTGCGAAATTTTCACGGGTGAGGGTTAACAGATCCATAGAAATGTGTACCTAGATTTTTTATATCAACAAAGAATTTTAAGTACTCCTAAATATTATTGTATTTATTTAAGGTTTATGTTCTTCAAATATTCAAATGTTGTAAATATTTTTATATAGTGTAATAGTCGATATTCGATCAATATAGGTAGAGTGCCGACTTTAGGACAAAATCCAAGACGTGACTAACTCAACATTGATTCGGTATCAGGAAGAGACGAGCACCCATATTTTAAATTCAAAACTCGGACATCATTATCATTTATGTGTAACGTGACAGTAAAAACGGTAGTGTTCAAAAATTTTAACCCTGTACTGTAAACTGTAAACTGTAAACAAAACTTCATCCGGACACTTTCGTAACTAAAACGAATCTGAGAAAATATGAATGGATGATAGAACTAATATAAATTATTTTTATAAAATTGCTTATCAAACGGGATTAAAATATTATATATTTTACTCCAATAAAAACTTAAAGTCGGCACTGCCAATGTAGACAGAAAGGTTCCTATTCATAGTTACACAAATTATTAGTACCTATTGTATTATAGTTAGCGATAAGTAGACACTTACTTTAGTTTAACACACATATTACTTTGAATATCAACCTTTCTGTTAAATTATTTTATTTAATAATTTACATGTTTGCATAAAAAAATATAAAATTGTAAATAAACCACTAACATTGTTCAAGCCTTTTTTATTTTTATACCCACACCCACATCATAGTTTGGTTATACCTATCACACTTTCATTAAAATATATTTGAAAGAAAAATATGGCACAATCCACTCGCTCAAATTTGTAAGAACAAAACAAATGGAGAAGGTTGACTCAACATGTTTGACAATAAAAATAAAAAACTCTTTAAAAATAAATCTGATATGTTTTTTTTTTGTTTGGCTCCTTTTTTTTAAAATCTGTTAAAATTATTATTATTGTTTATTATTATAAATATTTGCGTACGTTCTACATTATACTTTACTTCACTTTGTACTGTGACTCGACTCGACTATAGATATATAGGAGGGACAAGTATCTGTCAAACATAGTGACGTTTATTTAGTTTCTTTTTAATGCAAATATATTTTTATGGCTGTATGACAGTAATTATGAGGAAATATTTAAAAAAAAAACGAAAACACCTACACTATATGGCGACTCTAGCAAAAGTTGTTTTTTGCAGAAAACGAATGGACTAAAGAAAGACATTTCCGTTCCTTTTAACTAACATAATAAAAAACTGAAAGAACAATGGCCAAAATAGACTACGAAAAAAAAGTTCTTGTACCAAGATGGAACTATCATCAAAATGTAGTATAAGTTGAATGTAATTATTATATACCAACAATTTATTTTTAAAAGCTGGGAAAAGAAAGATAATCCTCTCTAAAATATTTCTTTATTTTTAGAACGCAGTTTAAATTATGTTATTTTTGAACGCATCTTATTAATAATGTCATTCCTAGAGAAGTCCCTCTCTTTTCAAAGAACAAGATCGATTTTATTTCTGACTAATCGAATTTGTTACAAATCTTATATTATTTACTAACCATATAAATCCGTTAAAGGGAATTGTTCAGTTTGTATGGGCACTTTGGCTTTGAGTGGACATTATCTACAGTCATAAAAAACATTATTTTTTAATATTTTATATGTTAAGGAAGTTAACTGTTGTAATATTTTCACGGGAAAGTTTATAATTGTATATATATAAGCATGTGTAGTATTCCATTAACGATGTAATGAAAGAGTTATTTTTTTGTAAAATACTTTAATTATCTTATCATCATATTAATTTATTTATGTTATAAATAAGAAACAGAGAACTGGCATTTGGGCAGTCAAAAAAGCAGCTACAGCTACATTTATATAAGTTGGTCACATGATCCTAATCTTTGAATCTTCCACGGCCGCTCCTGACGTGTGCTCTCCCTTAAACAAGACCATTCTCCTGATTTATGCTCACCCTCGAGCAAAACTCTTAGGCTTGGAGCAGCTGTAGACTCACATTTACGTCTGCGCCTATTAACAGAATGGACTATTTTAAAACACCTATTCAGTACATTTGCACATAACTACTTAATAATAAATTAACATTAAATATTGAACAACTAGTTAATAGTAGCAGTATTAATAGTATATCATCCTGATGAAAGATGTAGCTTCCCAAAGCAAAAGAATTTTTTAAATCAATTTAATTTTAACTGAAGGAACTCCTGTTTAGACAGACCTTCAAAAGTGCACAATGACTTCAGTCATTCCTTCAATATTGTTAAAATCCATTGTAAGATTTCTTTTTTACAAATGATGCAAAATCTTGTATAAGTTCTGTAGTAAATGTATGAATAGTTTGCATGATAGACAACCATTCAGCCCAATTATTATAATATAAAAAAGAAGTCTACTGGTTTTTGGTACATAAAAGTTAAAATCAACAAACAATTTTACCTGAAGCCATCTGGAAACTGTCAGTTGCTGTGGTGAGTCTCAACCCGGAACAAAACATAATGCTTGTGAATCAGATGCTCTTTTAAAATCCGGTAAGGTAATGTTCTGTATAGGTTCTGGAATATTAGAAGGAACTGTCTCTATCTGCTCGCTGCCAACTTGGATGACAAATGTGATCAGATCCATGCACCTAAAAGAGTATAATATATAATTAAATTATTTGTCAACAAAATGTTACTTAAACGATATGGTAGCTATATATTAATGTTTTACATGTCATAAAGGAAGTTTTATTATAGTAATCATTATAAATAAAAATAACTATAATCCTACCTGTTGTGGGGATATCCAATCAATAATTTCATTTCTAATGTGTGTTTCTCTGTCGGATATTATTTGCAGTTGATGTGATCTAGTACGTAATATAGATCTTTCACAATTTATACAAAGCGGCCGACGATATTCACGTAGGAGACCACTACACGATTTAAATACATTCATTAAACCAAACACTTATGA